CTTTATTTTTGAATGAATTAGGAAAGATCTTGTCTGAGATACTTTCTCAAATTACATTTCCGGCCCAGACTGAGATTACTTTTGTCTGATCATTGTCTTGATAACGCTGCCTCTTTCTCCTGTCCCTCAAGGCCATTCCACCTTCCCTCTGCACATATAGAGGATAAGATGGCCAGACGCATTCACATTTAAATTTAATTCAGATAAATGAGATTTGTCAGTTCTGGGACTACTATCCACACCGTTTGGACTGCAAAGACAGCCTTGGACCAAGCGATCCCCCAATCTCAGAGAGGCCTTGAAACATTCCTACTTCCAAAAGTCTTTTCACTATGATTGGTTCAGCCTAGTATTGATCCCTGCACAGGAAGGGAATTTGCTAATTGATTTGGATCAAGTTCTCTCTAGGATGATATGGAGGAAATCACGGGTATCCCAACTGAGCTGAGCGTATGACCTGAAATAAGGATTTGCAGCTCTGCAAATGTTGAAAAGTGATCGGGATAGTTGCAGAATGTGTAAACGAAGAAATGCTAAAATACAGATGTGCTCAGCTGATGGAATTGCCTATCCAACAGGCAGTCCTTGGCTTACAACCATTTGTTCTGTGACCATTCAAAGTTACAATACAGATACTCCTCGACTTCCAACGGTTCATTTCAGAGTTCAAAGTTACAAAGGCACTGAAAAAAGTGACTTATGACCACTTTTCACAGTTACAATCTTTGCAAGAACCCCTGATCAAAATTCAGGTGCTTGGCAACTGACTCATACTTATGACAGTTGTAGTGTCATAAAAGGGGTCACTCTTGCGACCTTCTGAGAGGTCAAGTCCATGGGGAAGCCTGGTTCACTTCACAACCGTGTTACTAACTGAACAACCGCAGTGACTCGCTTAAGATCTGTGACAAGGAAGGCCGTAAAATGGAGGCAAACCTCACTTAACAACCGTCTCGCTTAGCAACTCCATTGTGGTCCTATATCGAGGAGTACCTGTATATGAAGTGTGGAAGCGAGAATGGAAAGTGACAGAGATATAGTGAAGACGGGTGCCACCGAAAGAGAATCCTGAAACTTCCTGTGAAGTTGCAAAAGAAATGGGAATAAATCCAAATATTAATAACACGATGCAGACGGTTATTTCAAGGTCATCAAATCTGTAAAAGGGACGTTTAGCCCTTTGATCTTATGTTCTGGGAGAAAGAAGATCAGACACAGCAGTGGCCAAAATTGTGGAAACCTTTTGGGAAAAGTGTATTTTTGAGGTTTGATGGCTAATAACACCACTTTTTTTTTTTTTTGGTGGAATTTCCAGATAATCCTATTCCACTGCTGGAATGGCCTGGGAATAGCCCAGACCTTAACCCAATTGAAAATCTATGGAGCCGACTAAAGAAACTTGTTAGTCAGAAGCGACCCAGCAATAAAACCCAGTTAATAGAAGCCATCATTCAATCTTGGTTTCACATTAGAACAGCTGCAGAACTCAAAGACTTAGTTCACTCCATGGGAAGACGTTGTAAAGCCGTAATTCATGCTAAAGGTTCCCCAACTAAGGATTAACTGACATGGTGATAATTTTTACATATCTTGTTTTTTCTGTTTCGCTTTTCTTCTTTATACTGTAACTATTTAAATAGCAAATCCTTCCTAAAAGTTACTGCATTACACTCTTGATTAAATTATCTTTCCATTGATATATAATTTTATGGTACTACCCCGTTAAAAAAAAAGTGGTGTTATTAGCTAGTTTTAGAAAATACACTTTTTCCAAAAGGTTTCCACAATTTTGGCTACTACTGTAGCTCTCAGAAACTCACCTTAACTGTAAGTCACCAATAATTGAATGCTAGGATTTCAGCTCCTTGAAGATCCAAGATTTGGGAGATTAGCCAGAAGACTTAACTAGCAGTCTTCCAATACTTTTTTTTTTTTAATTTGATTTATATGCCGCCCTTCTCCGGAGACTCAGGGCGGCTTACAATGCGCTAAGCAATAGCCTTCATCCTTTTGTATATTTATACAAAGTCAGCTTATTGCCCCCACAAACTGGGTCCTCAATTTACCTACCTTAGAAAGGATGGAAGGCTGAGTCAACCTTGAGCCTTGGCGAGATTCGAACCTGCAGTAATTGCAGGCAGCTGGTCTTAATAACCAGCTTAATAACAGGGTGCCTTAGACCACTGTACTACCAAGGCTCTTGAGGGGCTGTCATAGAGAAGAGGGGGTCCACCAGTGGTGGGTTGACCCCGGTTCGGACCGGTTCTATAGAACCGGTAGTAAAATTGGCGGGAGGCTCCGCCCACTGATCCTGACGTCATCAGAAGCGATCTTGTTGCGAACCGCTAGTAAAGGTAAGTAGAACCCATCCCTGGGGTCCACCTATTCTCCAAAACACCTGAAGGGAGAGCATGAACTAATGGTTGGAAGCTTACCAAAGACAGATCCATCCTAGAATTAAGGAGAAATTTCCTGAGCGATTAATCAGTGGAACTACTTACCTCTGGAAGTTGTGGGTGCTTCATCACTAGAGGTTTTTTTAAGAAGAGACTATTTGTCTGAAATGGCATAAGGTGTCCTGCTTGAGTAGGGGGTTGGACTAGAAGACCTCCAAGGTCCCTTCCCGCCCTATTATTCTATGTTCTAATGAGAGTGGATTTCTTTCTGGATTTGGCTATGCTGTTAGGGGCATGACAAAGATGCACTGTTTTTTAACCTGACAGAACTCGACGTATCTGTTGATCTTTATCTCAATTAGTGCCTTCAAGACATTTTTGACTTCTAGGGATGAGTGGCCAAGTCCCTGCAGTTTTCCTGGCATGATTTTCTATAAGCAGTTTACCATTTAGAGTGTTTTCTTCCTAAGAAAGAAATTGGCCCTGAATCGCCCAGCTGGATTTGCGTCTAAAGCAGGACTAGAACTCGGATTTTTTTTAAAAAAAGCTCATAATCCAGCACTTTCTCCTCTAGAGAAGGGTACTTCCAACTGGCCAACTTTAAGAGGTGTGGACTTCTACTCCCAGAATGAGCATCCCCTCCCCAATGAAGGCTGGGGAATTCTGGGAGCTGAAGTCCACACCACTTAAAAGTTGTTGTGTTGCAATTGCAGTAGACCAAACTTTCTTTCTTTCCAGTATTTGAGGGGTTGCCATAAAGAAGAAGGGGGTCAATTTATTTTCCAAAGCACCATCTTTCTCTCTCTCTCTCTCATTCATTCGTTCGTTCGTTCCTTCCTTCCCCTCTTCTCCTTCCTTCCTTCCTTCCTTCCTTCCTCTTCTCCTTCCTTCCTTCCTTAATTCCTTCTTCCTTCCTTCCTTCCTTCCTTCCCCTCTTCTCCTTCCTTCCTTCCCCTCTTCTCCTTCCTTCCTTCCTTCCTTCCTTAATTCCTTCCTTTCTTCTCCTCTTCTCCTTCCTTCCTTCCTTCCTTCCCTCCTTCCTTCCTTCCTTCCTTCCTTCCTTCTTTCCCTCCCCCCCTCCCTACTCCTCTCTCAATAATTGCAAAAAGTATTTTTTGGGGGGGAATTCAACTTTCTGCAGTACCTGCTCTTGTCCATTCACTTGCAAAATTTGCAAAATTACTGATAAAATACTGAAAGCAACAATCCAGATGTAGTCAGTTGCATCAAGACTCACGTGTTGAGTGACAAGTACACAATCCCCTGTGAAATATCACAAGAAAAAGCATCTCGATACAATGCTATGTATATTTTCCCCCTCTGGTGTGCATTAACTTAAACAAAAACAAAACTGCACAAACACAATTTCAATTTAATCCTAGGCGCAAACTCTACCACTGAGGCTGTGTCCTCTCCCTTCCCGCTAGTATTTTTTTTTTCAACGCACAAATTACAAACATGATGAAAAGGCAGAGAATTGGGGACAAATAAATAGAAATAACTGATGCAGCAGCTTGTAGGAAAAGGCACAGTGGACAGTTTCCCAACTTAAAACAGTGTGAAACTGTGCTAGACTCTTAATGCATCGAGTTGCACTTTAGAAGTGAGACAAGGAATTCAGGATTTCCCAAAGTCAGGACCGAAATACGGATGAGATCCGTTTAACAGGTGTTCCAGCAATCAACCTGACTAAAAGTCATCAGTCAGACTTCAAATTCCTGGGATACAGTTAAAACCCATTTCCTTTTCCCATTAATAGGAATTACAACGATTTGTTTCGCCCACACTTAAAGAGGAAATAAAAGCCAGATTGGGACACACACTTTTCAAGTGAACACACACTCGCTTTCACACGCAAGATTAGTAACAGCAACCATTTGTAAGAATAGGTCAAAGGTTTCCCCGATATCCTTTCCAACATTGGCAAATTTACTTTCAAGAATGGGAACATTTCCCCTATTTTTAAAAGCATCTATTTCACAATTTAGGGAATTTTTGTTCAGGTCTTTTTTTTTAAACAACACAGTCCTTTGTCGCCGAGTTGTTAAAAATTATCCAATTTGGATAACCTAGAATCTAAAATAATAGTCATCCCAGGTAGTCCTCGACTTACAACAGTTCATTTAGTGTCCGTTCGAAGTTACAGCGGCACTGGAAAAAGTGACTTATGACCAGTTTTCAGAATTATGACCGTTGCAGCATTCCCCAAGGTCAGGTGATCAGAATTCAGATGCTTGGCAACGGACTCATATTTATGACGGTTGCAGTGCCTTGAGGTCAAGTTTTGCGACCTTCTGACAAGCAAAATCAACGGGGAAGCCAGGTACACTTAACAGCCAGGTGAAGAATGGCAGTGATTCACTTAACAACTGTGGCCAGAGAGGTCGTAAGATGGGGCAAAATTCACGTAACCAATGTCTCGCTTAGCGACAAAAATCTTGGCCTCAGTTGTGGTCGTATGTTGAGGACTACCAGTATATGTTTTATTGCACGGTCAGTTAAAATGCTTTAGATCCCTACCCAAGGCTCCTTGTATTGGCTACTTCATCCTGTATTTAGATTTTCGCTACCATATTTCTGCAAGATTTTTAAAACACCATGGGGGACTTTCTTCAAAGATAGAGTTTATTGCTAAAAATGTTTTGCTCAGTCATATGTACACCAATGTGTTGTTCAAAGAGTATTCAAGTAAACATTTTCAATATCTCTAGCTTTCCCTCCCCGCCCTTCTATACACAAACATTAAAAATAAATAAACTGTACATGAGAAAGTTCTTTTAACATCTCTACATTACTATATGTATCCCCCCCCACCAAAAAAATCACTCTTTCATAACAACATATACTTAAAAACAAAATATCCTTACTCAATATACATTAAAAAAAAAAAAAGAAAGAAAACTCAGAGCTTTAGCCAACTCTGAAAATTTGTCTGAAGATCGGTAACAAGTTTTGGAACAGGCAAAACGAACAATCAGGAGTGCAGGAAATCAGACACAAGGGCATTTTTAAAGGCGTTTAAAGGATCGGGCGTTATAAACCAGCATTATAGGAAAATATCTTCTCTTTCTTATATGACAAAGGAAACTGCAGTTTCAAAATGGTTGAAGCTTCAATTTGTGGTCCTGCATTGTTATTTTCTTATTATTGATTTAAAAAAAAAACACACGCACAAAAACAACAAAAACCACAACAGAATTCCCTCCTCCTTTAAAACTCTCTATATTTACATGGGGGTTGGGGGGTGGCAGTTTTAAATTTTGTTAGAACGCTATATACGTATAAAAATAGACATCTCCATGTAGTGCTTAGCTTTCTCTCTCTCTGTCTTTATTTTTTTTCCTCGTGGCCTGCACTGCAGTTCCTCTGGGGTTTCTTTTCCCCATGTTCAAATAAAATAAAATAATTAAAAAGAGAGAGAAGGGGGAGGGAAGGAGGGAGGGAGAGAGAGAAGCAGGGAGCGAGGCAGGGGAAAAAAAACAACAACAGTGCAAGCGGTACGGGGAAGAGGATAGAGAAACGATGGAGCGAAGTGTCTTGCAAACACCGGTGGTGTCTGTAGGTCTCTTTGTCAAGGCAAGACTCTCTCAACCCTTCAAGCTTCACTTGGGGGTTGGAGGATGATTGGCACCTGTCAAGTCCGTTCACCCAGGTGGCTTGAGTTCCTAGCCACCTTCTCCCGATGCTTCAGCCTTCCGGATGGATCCCCCGGTGTAGGATCGAGTGCAACCTCACGTCCTCCTCTCCTCCTTTCCCCTCCCCAATCTCAAAGCCATTAGCGTGCCTTTCAGCTGAGGCTCTCCCGGACCTAAAGCCCCATCTCCATCCATCATGCTGCATCCATCCAGGAGCCGGGGGAGGGGAGGGCACGTTCCCCACCTCCATAAGTCCTCCACCTCTCTCCTCCCCCCCTTTCACACCTCCCATAATTAACAGGAGCACTTGCACTCTGAAATCACCGGATACTGAACGGGGATCCACGTGCAATATTTTTGCTTGGACCATCCTTGGCAGTACCATCTCAAGAAGGTCTTGGTGACCGATTTGATCGGTTTGCAGGACATGCCCTCCGGGAAGGAACACGACCGCTCGGCCATGCAGTTCCCTTCCTTGATGTACCGAGGCCAAAACCGACTGCCTAGGTCCTTCCAGGTGTACATCACCGGACAGTAGGTGTAAGCCCAAAGCCACTGGAGAAATTTCCGTCGGGCTTTTTTACCTATCTTGACCTTGGTCCTATAAGGCGTCTCGGCAAGGTCCAGCTTTTTCAGCTCGCCGGGCAAAGCGCCTTGACCTTTGAACTTCTGCAAAGGCTCCAAGCTGGAGAGATTCCCTTGAGCCGGCGCTGCCACCGACATGAAGTTGGGGTCGAAATGGCTCCCCAGTTTCTTACGTAAAGTCCGGTCGTCCAAATCTTGCTCCTTGGGGTCATATTCGGGATCAGGATGCTCGATAATATCCTTGATGGGCAGGTTGTCGCTTGGGGAAGGGCGGAGCCGAAGGTAGGGCTGGGAAAAGCCCGGTTGAAGCAGCAACGCCAAAGAAGAGCAGATCAGGAGCACTTGGGGGGCCTTCATGCTCTCGGATCCCCCACCCGGCGGGGGTCACTCGGGAGACTGTTTTCCCAGACCAGCCCAAGCAAGGAAGGAGGGCAGCCGACGGACAACTGCTGCTGCTACGGAATAGCTTTTCTCTCTCTCTCTCTCTCTCTCTCTCTGTCTCTTCCGATTGTTCCCAAGCCTGGAGGGATGGGAGGTAGGAGGGGAGGGGGGGGTGAGAGTTATTCTTCCGGAGACCCCCTTGCCAAGTCCAAGCGATGCATAAATAGGTTGAGACAAAATCCAGCAAGGCCCCTGGCTTTAAATAGCTCGGCCAGGGGTTAGGTGACAGATGCGGAGGCCAGGTCTCTCTCTTATGCTCCTGCTCCTGGAGAAGAGCAAAAAACAAAAAACGAGGGGTGCCAGAAATGGGGGGTGGAGGTGGGGTGGAGAGAGTGGGGACAGCAGGGCAGGAACCAATGGCCTTGGGAGGGGGGCAGGAAGCAGGGGTCCCCCTTTTCCAGACCCCCAAAGGGCTCAGGGTAAAAAAAAAAAGCCCACCCACCCTTTTTCTTCTTCTTCTTCTTCTTCTTCCTCTTCTTCTGTCTCTCTCTCTCTCTCTCCTCCTTTCTCTCTCTCTCTCTCCCCCCAAAAATTCACAGCGATCCCGAGTCCATCCCCATGGTGACAGCTGGACTTAGACCTACGGCAGCATGTCTAGACAGCATGGCAGAGTTCGGCGTGAGACAGGGGAGGCCCAAGAATAAAACCTTCTTTTATAGATGGGGAAGCCGTGAAAAAAAAAAAAAGGGGGGGGGGGGGAAGGGGGGGCGGGAGGGGGGGGGGGCCGAGGGAAGGAGGAGGAGGAGGAGGAGGGGAGTAAGAGAGCCGCAGGTCCCCAGAAACGCGTCCAGTTTTGGGAAGAAGCGTGTGTGTGTGTGTGTGTGTATAAATTGGGGGGGGGGGTGTCTTCCAACTTTCCAGTTGGGGGGGCGTCTGGGTTTTTTTTTTTCTTCTTCTTCTTCTTTCCTCCAATGCACCCCCCTTTTTTCCCCCTTCTTCTTTCAGCTCCTCGAATAAGAACGGCTCCCGCCGACTCCCCAAGACCGCTGGGAACGCCCCGGCGCAAAACGGGGCTTCATCGCGGAGCTTTCGACCCGTGTTCGGCTCCGGGTTTCAGCGCCTCGATTCCTTCGGCGGGGAGCCGCTCAGCATCGCGGGCGCCCGGGTGCAAAATCCAGCCGGCCGAGGAAGAGGAGGAGGAGGAGGAGGAGGAGGCGACAAGATTCCCAAGTGGCAGAGGAAGCGCCTTTGCCCGGAGATGCGAGGAGGTGGAGGGGGGGGAAGAGACAGTCGCGTCTTCGGAAGGGGCACTTCTCTCCCCTCCCCCGACACACGCACGCAGCCTGCTCAGGATCGGGCGCAAGGGTTCAGGATCGCGCTCGGCGCCGTCCGGATCCCGCTGCGGGGCTCGCTGGAGGAGAAGAGCTGGCGGCTGATGCGCTCGGGAGGCTCCGCTGCGGCGCCCGCCGGCTGGCTGGCTGGCAGGCTGACTGGCGGGGCTCAGATCGCGGCTGGCCGGCTGGCTGGCGTCTGCTTTCCCCGAGCGCGCTCCCTCGGCGGTGGCGGCGGCGGCGGCGGTTCCTCCCCGCGCCTCGCTCCGCTCTGCAGCCAGCGCGCGTCTGCCGCGCCGGGCTCGCCGAAGCCCAAGTTAAATATCGCCCCCTCCGCGGCAGCCAAGTGTCAACGGAACGGCCCTCCCCTCCCCTCCCCTCCCTGTCCTCCAGGGAAGCTATGGGGCCGGCCGGCCGGGAACTGGGTGGGTCCTAGCGCCGCCTTTCCCTCCCCTCCGATCTCATGGAGGGGTGGGGGCTCTTTCTCTGTTCTCTCCCCCCACCACTCCGCCGCCTGCGCTCCCCTCCCAATCTTTGTCCACTCTCTCTCTCACACACACACGTATGTACACGCGAACGTCGGAACCCCCATCTTTTCCAAACCCGCTTTCTGCGGATCAGCCTTGAGCTCCGGGTTTGGGTTTTTTTGGGGGGGGGCGGGGGAGGTGGAAGCGGCTGTTGCGCGAATGCAGAAAGCGAGTTAGGAGAAGATGCGGGTTTTGTGTGTGTGTGTGTGAAGCCAGGGGAGGATGCGAGTTCGGAGGAGATGCGGGTTTCACATGAATGTGTGATGTGTGTGAAGCCAGGAAAGGATGCAAGTAAGGAGAAGATGCGGGTTCCGTGTGTGAGTGTGTGATGTGTGTGAAGCCAAGAAAGGATGCGAGTTCGGAGAAGATGCGGGTTCCGTGTGTTTGTGTATGTGTGTGAAGCCAGGGGAGGATGCGAGTTCGGAGAAGATGCGGGTTCCGTGTTTGTGTGTGTGTGTGAAGCCAGGGGAGGATGCGAGTTCGGAGAAGATGCGGGTTCCGTCTGTTTGTGTATGTGTGTGAAGCCAGGGGAGGATGCGAGTTCGGAGAAGATGCGGGTTTCACATGTGTATGTGATGTGTGTGAAGCCAGGAAGGATGCAAGTAAGGAGAAGATGCGGGTTCCGTGTGTGAGTGTGTGATGTGTGTAAAGCCAGGGGAGGATGCGAGTTCGAAGAAGATGCGGGTTCCGTTTGTTTGTGTATGTGTGTGAAGCCAGGGAGGATGCGAGTTCGGAGAAGATGCGGGTTCCGTGTTTGTGTGGTGTGTGAAGCCAGGGGAGGATGCGAGTTCGGAGAAGATGCGGGTTCTCTGTGTGGTGTCTGTGTATGTGTGAAGCGAGGGAAGGATGCGAGTTTGGAGAAGATGCGGGTTCCGCATGTGTGTGTGTGTGTGAAGCCAGGGGAGGATGCGTGGACGCCCCGGGGTTGCGAGCGGAGGGGTTTTGCAGAGAGAAGAGGGGGCGACGCGCGAGGTGAGCCGACGGCCCATCCTAGTTTCTTTAGAATTGGCAAATAAGAAACCGTGATTTTGAAGTGTGTGTGTGTGGGGGGGGACCGCTCTGGCAGCACGTGTGAATGCCGGGTGAGTTGGGTGGGACGGGGGAAGTGTTGCAGCGACCCTTAGGCCGGGGCTGCTGCAGAAAGTAAAAGAGAAGGAAAGAGTCGCTGGCGTTGAAGGAAGGGGAAGGGGCTAACTTGGATCTCAGCAGGGACGTGAGAGGGGGGTGATGCAGGACTAGGTTTCACTTTTTTGGGGGGGGGGCTTTTGGGGGGGGGGTCTTCAGTCTGGCTCCCACGGATTTTCTCCCACCAAGTTGGAAAGAATGGTTCGTTTCAAAAAAAAAAAATTCCTCTCTTACACCCGCTAGAATACCCCAAAAGATTTGAACATGTGTGAATGTGTGCACCTGTGCTGGGGAAAGCAGGGAACTGATGAGGTGAGAAAAATTCAAGGCACTCTGAACGTGCTCTGAGACACTATTTGCTCGCTTAATTTGGTACTGTCCAGCTTCATCTTGATCCCACCACTGAACACTACCATCTCCTACAAATTTGAGTGGGTGGGCAGCGCCACTCCGAGAGCCAACGCAAAGGGGAAATACGCAATCTCTCTGTGTCTGCTTCATTCCTCTCCAGACCTAAAAATATTTTTGCCTGACTAGGTGGCTCAGTGGCTAAGACACTGAGCTTGTCAATCAGAAAGTTTGGGCGGTGAATCCCTAATACAGGTCTCCTATGTGAGCAGGGGGTTAGACTAGATGACCTCCAAGGTCCCTTCCAACTCTGTTACTGTTACTATTTATGGTAGGGTACTTACTATATCTTTGTGTGTCCCCCCCCACCGTCCCGAAGGCTCTGAGCACCTAACAATAGAATAGAATAGAATAGAGTAGAGTAGAGTAGAGTAGAGTAGAGTAGAGTAGAATAGAATAGAATAGAATAGAATAGAATAGAATAGAATAGAATAGAATTTTTTATTGGCCAAGTGTGATTGGACACACAAGGAATTTGTCTTTGGTGCATATGCTCTCAGTGTACATAAAAGAAAAGATACATTCATCAAGAACCATAGAATTAGAATTAGAATTAGAATTAGAATTAGAATAGAATAGAATAGAATAGAATAGAATAGAATAGAATAGAATAGAATAGAATAGAATTTTTTATTGGCCAAGTGTGATTGGACACACAAGGAATTTGTCTTTGGTGCATATGCTCTCAGTGTACATAAAAGAAAAGATACATTCATCAAGAACCATAGAATTAGAATTAGAATTAGAATTAGAATAGAATAGAATAGAAATAGAAATAGAAATAGAATAGAATAGAATAGAATAGAATAGAATAGAATAGAATAGAATAGAATAGAATAGAATAGAATTTTTTATTGGCCAAGTGTGATTGGACACACAAGGAATTTGTCTTTGGTGCATACGCTCTCGATGTACATAAAAGAAAAGATACCTTCGTCAAGAATCATAAGGTACAACACTTAATGATAGTCGTGGGGGACAAATGATACAAGCAACAAAATTACAGTCATACAGTCACAAGTGGAAGGAGATGGGTGGTCGGAACGATGAGAAGATTAATAGTAGGGCAGACTTAGTAAACAGTTTGACAGTGTTGAGGGAATTATTTGTTTAGCAGAGTGATGGCGTTCTAACAAATCACAAATATTGTAAAAGGAAACCCCTCCACAAAAAACGAAGAAACCCACTGAAAGCATCATCATAAACATCTCAGCAGCACCACAAGAAAAAACAACAAGAACAGCACGGAGTGCCATATATCTGCTAGTGCTCCCCGATATTCAAAGCATAACATTTTCCTTGGGCCAGATTGGGAGGGAGTAATGGAAACAGGTCTTTAATTTTTCCCCTGATCATTTCTGGGGCCAAATGATGTGTCACAATCTTGTGTCAACTCTTCGATTGAACATTTACCTGCTGTAACAGTGGGGCCGCCACACCTAGCCAACTATGCTCCCCCCCAAAAATTAATAATAACAATTAAAAAAAACAACAACAACTGGGTGCCTTCGGGATGAGAGACCACCAGTAAATCTCAAAACTCACTAGAAGTGACAGGGGGAAAAAAAATCTTAAAAGATCTCAGTGGCAAAAAAACTCCACTTCCTTGTATGATTGTCAAGAAAGCAACACAGCCTTCAGCTCCTCAGCTCAACCCAACTCAACTCAACCTACGAGACCGTCTTTTGCCACCAATAGCCTCCCACCGACCAGTTCGTTCTCACAGGGAGGGACTACTCAGGGTACCGTCAGTCAAATTATGCCGACTGGCGACTCCCAGGGGGAGGGCCTTCTCTGTGGGGGCTCCAACCCTTTGGAATGAACTGCCCCCGGAGATACAAAATATCCCTGATCTCCGTGCTTTCCGCCGTGCCCTCAAGACCCTGATGTTCCAACAAGTGGGGCTAAACATATGAACATGTGAATGGTTTTTTAAAATGTTATCTAATTCTGGGTTTTATTTAATTGGGCCAAACTATGTTATAATAATAATTTTAATTAGCAATTTTATGATGTTTGTGTATCTATATTTTTCTTGACTGTACACCGCCTTGAGTCCTACGGGAGAAAGGCGGTATAGAAATATAATAATAATAATAAATAAATAAATAAATAAATAAATAAATAAACCCCAAAATCAACACAATAGTTTTAAATTGGGGTATTTAAATTTATTGGGGTTTTAAATTTGAGCCACTTTATTTAATTATTTTAAATTTTATATTGTTGTTTTGTCTGTGTTTTTAAATAGGCTCTACACCGCCCTGAGTCCTTCGGGAGAAGGGCGGTATAGAAATAAAATTATTATTATTATTATTATTATTATTATTATTATTATTATTATTATTATTATTATTATTATTAT